AATAGAATAGAATAGAATAGAATAGAATAGAATAGAATAGAATAGAATAGAATAGAATAGAATGGCTTTATTGGTCAAGTGTGATTAGACACACAAGAAATTTGTCTTGGTGTAAACACTCTCAGTATACATAAAGGCAAGGAATGCTGAAGCAGAGGAGAATTTGCATGAAGGAAGACCCTCTATTTGTGTTTTTTTTAATTTACTCCTGTAGGGATTGAGGGGACTAGAAGGGATTTGTGTGAGGCAGCAGCAGCCACAGTTGGGCATTGGTCCTTTGTGCCTAATGCTTAAATCTCAAATATCCTATGCTGCTTCAGTACTACTTCAAGATATTCTCACACAAGTCTGAAAGAACTTCAGTGATACTCAAATAGAACATTGCAACAATAATTGTAGCTTCTATTTTCCTCATATTTTGGCCTTACCAGATCCCTTGCCAGAAAACCGGCAATATCTGGTATTTTGGAGGATATGTTTTAAAAACTGATCTGAAATCCTATTTGCCAATCAGTGTGCAGCAATATAGAGTTAAATGGATCAAGCATCTGTTCCTTGTAAAATGTGTCCTAGATTCTCATAATTTGGGACTGTTATTTAAAAACATGACCATTCAAAAACATCTATATATTCTAAGAATTAAATGCAATTGGGAGTGGATGGCCAGGCGTGAAAGCTGAAAGGGATGTATAGGTCCTCCAAATGCTAACCTGTTGTTTTTGAATATGTCTTCTTGTTTCTATTTTTATACAATCTAAAAACCAAGTATGTGAAAATAATGGAAATGTCTCAAAATTTTAAAACTTGTTCCTGATTATATCATTCAAAAATAAGAAAAATGTATGTCCATCTCTTTTTAAATCTCAGCACTCAAGATTCACTATAAATGCAAAAAGCAGGTTTAAAGGCTATTTTCAACCAACAGAAAAGTTCAATAAAACAAAACAACTGGAAATAATTCAAATCTCTGCTTGGTGCCTCTACTCACTAAATCCTCAGCTGAAGCTTAGTAAGAATATAAAATAGGGCAAGAGAAATACCAGCTTTTTTACAGTATCTTACAAGCTTCAGTTAAAAGACAAAAGCTCAAAAAATACAAAAAGTGTGGAAAAAACTAAAAAGCACTGGACAGTAGAAAAAACCCAATTGACAAGATAAAATAGGGCATTCCAATTCAGGTAAGAACTAATTACAGCACGGGCCCTTGAAATTCTCACTTCTTTTCTTTATGAGGTGTTCATCTCTTGTAATCCTCTATCCATTTCCCACCTGTCCTTTACTCTTTCCATCAAGTCTCCTCATAGGTTCAGCATTCAAACTTGATTTCCAGACTCTCATTCACAGAGCAGCTTGCAAGCAGCTGGCCTTGGACAGTTTAGAAAGCATGGGGCAAAAAGCCAAAAACCTTACCAAACATGTTCTTCACTTCATGGTTGTCATGCAATTTACTACTAGATCTACAAGACAGGCACAATTCACCAGCTCCTGCTTCCCCTATTGCTTTGAGCCATGTAACAGAGTATTCAGAATGTCAAATTTGCTTTTCCTGGCGACCTGAGAAGGCAGCCCGGGAGGGCTCTGGAATGCCACCTGAAGTGTACTTCTCTAGACTCCATGTTTGCCTGTGGCAAGAATCCTACACTGACCCATATAAATAGACATTAAGCCAATTCCAAGCCTTTCCTCATTCACCAACCTAATCTCCAACATCTATCTGTTTGGATAAATTTCTGCTTTTCAAAGACCACCCAGTGTGCAAAAGAAAAGAAGAAATAACTAATCTGGAGCAACAGGTAAATAATCAATGGAAGAACCACCTGCAAATATCCAGCAATCATGAACTCAGTGGTAGGTCAGAAGCTGCCACAATACAACAAGAAAAAGCAGTTGGGTTTCAGAGAACAGCCAATTTGTATAGGAACCCCACTGAATACTACAGAGTCACAACTGTTTTGGCTTAACAGTGAAAAAGCAACACTGGCTTGGGAATCCAAGGATGCAGAGCAAGGAGAGGAAGCCTGCCAGGACAGCAGATGTCTTCCAGGGACAACCATGTAATCTTTGCATTGACCAGGCAAAGAAAGGCCCTACTGTCCTCCATTTCTGGAGGTGACAGGCTTTCTGCATTGAGCCGCAGCTGAAACAAGACTCAGCCACATTAATAATATAATCACATGTGGCAGTCAGTGGCTGCATATAACATCTTTTCCCAAATCAAATAATCTCTAAAATGCCAGGGGCAAGTGGGTGGTTTATACACTGTATGTATAAAATTAATGGCAACTTTTCCAGAGCTGTGAGAACAAGAATCTGAAACAACTAGTTAGATGTTTCTGCTTTGCTGAATTAGGCTCCAACATTTCTCCTTTCATCTGTGGCTTCTCATAATGCATCAGCTCTTCCAGACAGGCCTTTATTTTAGGCTTCCAAACATAACTTTTGAACAGCTGCCCAAAATCACTATCAGTGAAATGGGTGGCATAGAAATTTAATAAATAAACAAACAGCTCCTGTGGTAGATGAAAGACTGTAGAAAACTTAGCATAATGGCTTGTATAATATTGACAGATAGGATAGCCAGGAAAAGCTGGAAGGTCTACAATGTCCAAAATCTAAGCAGAACACATGATCAAAGGAACTTATTCGCCTGCTCTTAAGATTCTATTTTAATAAAAAGATGGCACAATGAGCAATCCAATAGGAAAAAGCTGTAAAGAGGACCTATGCCTTAAATATTGCAACAAATACAGGAATTTTTAAAGATAATTCTAAATGAACGTTTGTTCCATGCAGGGTAAAGAAATCAGACCCAAATTAGATAATTCTATCCCTATGTAGCCCATTAGTTGCACAATTAACAAAAAACTGTGTGTGTTGGGGTGGGGTGGGTTATTATAATCTTTTGTAATTTTAATGTTTTAGAATTGTTTTTACACAGATATGTTGGAAAGGTGGGAATTTATGAATTCTACTTCCATACTTCAAACATATCTCATTGAATGAAGTATGTTTAATCCAGATTTGGGCAATACTGTAATTCACAACAAATCCTATTGAATTCTGAGGAGTTTGCTTTAAACTAAAGAGTGAAAATAATAGATGAATGAATCTACCAATAAGATTTTAACAAGAAAATATGGGTTTTGTTTTCTTCAGCATATTGTCCCAATCTCCCCTTAATTCTCTGAATTGCAACTCTACTGTCATAAGCACAAGAGATTCCTTAGACAGAAATAAACCAAGTTTCAGTCCTGGTTCGTGCACGTTTTCTCTTGTTTGTGTAGCAATGTAAGTATCATCATTCAAAATGACTTTTGAAAGAGTTCTTATTTGCCTAGATGTTTTCTCCATCTATCACATTCCTAAAAAGACAGTCCTACTTGGTTTAATGTGGCTAATTTTATGGTCTATAGATTGATTTGAGATTTGATTATTCTATTTTTCTTCTGCTATTGTTGTTAGATGTTTTGATTAACCAAAAGAAACTTGGGATTTGACTACTTGAGTCTTTGCTATCTAGGTTGCTGTTGCTGTAATATTGGATCATCAGCTTAAGATTTGGCAGCTCAAAAGCTTTGTCACCAGAAACTTTTGAAAAGAGGCAGATGTCTCTAATCATCAAATAGAGGCTTAAGAAATGATTTGACAGCCTGGTGGCTTCTGAAAAAGATGCTAAATGCCATCTGTTAATACCAGATTTTCTGGACATCTTATAAATAAGAACCAGTTTGGAATGCAAAGGGAAGAAACCACAGTAGTTTTCCTTGACTCAAGAAACAAAATGCTAGCAAAACTCCAGTTCCCATTTTGCATGCTGTTGCCTCCAAGCAAGACACTCACCACCTCTGTGCCAGTAATGCTAGCAAGCAGCTCAGTAAGTGCCTCGCCAGAAAAATGGTCAGATGAGGTAGTGAGGCCATGGACTGCTGCTCCAATGCAACCTGTAGCAATCATGGATGGTGGATACATAGCAAAGGTGTACTCTACAAATAAAGAAGAGAGGAGGAAGAAGAATGAATTCATTCATTATTTCATTCATCAAGGAGAAATGTCCACAAAGAAAGCTTAAGCAGATACTTTAAGATAGAAGACCAACCAAATTAAAACTAAGCAGCACAGGTTAGGGTTTCAAGTTTCAGAAAAGAATAGAACATCTTAGCTCTTCGAACATTATTTAGAGTATTTAAACTCTGCCTTATTCCTGATCAGATAGCTCATTTCAAAATTTCAGCTATGCAGAATTGGACACTAATTTTTAAGTAAGAAAGAAACTTATAGAAGCAATTGATATGGGGACCTATTGCCACCAACATATTCACAGTACCTCTCCTGGAATTCACAAAGTTCATTGTCTTCTAATGGGAATAGGTAGGGTACATTAATTAACTAATTAAAAAATGAGAAGATGCGTTTTATAAGAGTAACAATTAAAAATTCTTACGTAACTCTTATTATATCTCTTTTATTCATTAAACATGAAACTCAGTCAACTGAACATTTAAAATTGTATCACAAATATCACTGATTGATGCTAATGGTTGATACGGGTTGCTGCCAGCATCCTAGGTATCAACCAAGTATCTTCTTAAAATGTGTGATATTTCGAGTAGCACATTGTTTTGCAGTTCCACTGGTGTTATTGCAGGAAGCTATAATTTCTTGATGTATTTTGTAAAATTCTTGGAAATGGTACCAATTACAACTACTACTGCTGTTATTGTGGCAGTGGTTAGAATGCACTATTGCAGCAAACTCTGCCCATAACCTAGAGCCTGTTCAAAGTTGACTCAGCCTTCCATCCTTCTGGAGTTGGTAAAAAAAGGGACCCTGATTTTGGAGGGCAATATGTTGATTGTGTGCTATAAAGCACTATGGAGTGGTGTATAAATCTAAGTGCTATTGCTTTTATTATGAAGCCTCAACAGGATGTTTAGAAAATAAAATGGTGGGCTGCTTTTTCCATAAAGAAGGCTCTTCTTTTGCCCCATTAAAACGCGAAGATAACCTCGGATAACCAGACAGTATTATGAGGAAGGGACATATGGAGATAGTGGCAGGAGCAATCTCATAAATATTAGTATTTTGCAAGCTGTGACCAACCACGACGCACTTTCATAATTTTAAAATGCCTCCCAAACTGAAAAAGAGCATACTCTTAGCTTATTTAAATCATTTTGCAACAAAATTATTATCAGCATATTTACAGGAGTCAGGAGGGAGCATACATTTGATAAAATCCCAGCTTCTAAATCATCATCCTCAATCTTCAGTATTTTAACAGTCAATGCTACTGCATATTAGACACTATATTTGATTAATCTGCCAGCTACAGAATAAGGAAACCATTATTGCCTAAAAGGTCTTCTATTTACTCCAAAGTCACCAAAAACTGGAATGAAACTGGAACTGATTGGCAGCTTTCCACACTACTTTGACACACACACACACAAATGGTCAGTAAGACATTTTATTAACCAACCTAAGAATAATCTATAAGGTTACATAGCTATTTCTTTTTGATAGCATGTTACAATAAGCAAAAATGTTTCTTCCTGGAAGAAGACAGGAGCTCTCCCTGAAAATATACAAGTAGCTAATGTGAAAAAGATTCCCTCTAAGTGTCAGAGTTGGTTGTTGGCTTGGAGTTTGTTAATTGGCACTCTGACACTAAGACTGTACAAGAATTCAGGAATGACCTAATGCCCAGTTCAAATGATCAATATGATGTATCTTTCTGGTGACAGGAGAGAACTAGAGGTTATATTCTTCAACAGACTAGTAAAGTTGCTTTTAAAATGGCTAGACAGAGTAAACTGAGCTCAGGTTTTGTTTTTTTTAAAAAAACCTCTGCCATGGAACCCAATTGCCAAATGCTTCTGTGAACTCACCTCTAGAACTAAATTTGTCCTTATCATGTAAACTGTCATTTTGGAATTAATATGTCATATTTCATTTTTACAGATAATGGCACACGTAAACCCGAATATTCACCATCCTTGCTTTCCAGAGGCAGATACCAGGCTTCAATCAATGTGGGAATCCATGGCCTCTTTGAAGAAAGAAACCAGTTTGCTACAGCTATCAATTAAACAAAGTCTCTCTTTTCGAAGTTTATAAATTAAGCTGCTTCTCCCTTCCAGAGAGTCTCACCCTTTTAAACACAAACATACCTGTGGCGCACAATGCAATGAAGGTCTGGGCGTGTTTCTTTACCAAATGCACCTTATGCTGAGGAAGCGACAGCCGATGAAGAATGTGATCCAGGAAGTCGTTTGCTATTACCATCACCAGGTCCCATTTCAGCTTCTCTAAGACCAAATATTCCCAGTCCTAAAGAGGGAAGGGAGAGGGGATTATGCTAGCAAAACAGGGGAATCATTTTTTTAAAAAAATCACACAAGAAAAAAAAAAGGCAAATCCATGAGGCTTACTGTCCTTTTCCTCAAGATCCCAGCAAAAGATTATTGCTCCTTGGAATCTGCATACAGGTAGTCCTTGACTCACAACCATTTATTTAGCAACTGTTCAAAGCTACAATGCTACTGAAAAAGGCCACTTATGAATGATCCTTGCACTTGTGACGGCCACAGCATCCCTACAGTCAAGTGATCAAAGTTTGCATGCTTGGCAACTGCCATGTATTTATGGTGGTGCAGCATCTTGGGTCATGGGATCATCATTTTCTACCTTCTAAGCCAGCCTCTGACCAGCAAGTCAATGGAGGAAGCTTAATCTGTTTAATGACTATGCGATTCACTTAACAACCAGTGATTCGCAAAGCAATTCTGACAAAAAAAAAATGCTGTAAAATTGGGTGAAACTACTTTAACAACTGCCTTGCTGAGCAACAGAAATTCTGATCCAATTGTGGTCACAATCTGAGGAATACCTGTACTGTGCTTCTTGGCAGTTTGGGCATGCAACCCTTCTGTCATTGCACCTGATGAGTGCAGCCTTTGTCCTCTCATACAAACACCAGAGGAAAGAGCAATACAGGGCCTACACCTGCCAATTATGTCTTCATTCTCCTGTGTAGTCAGGCCCAATTGAATACATCCTTTTCTAAGCAAAGAACATGTATAAGTACTTCTCAAATTTGGTAATTTTAATTATGCAATCATACTATAGAATTCTACCAGTTGAAATACAAATCTTAAAGTTGCCAAGTTTGAGAAGTACTGATGTATATACTGTTTATTTGCCAAATGCTATGGAAACATTTCCAATAAACTCCCCATTCTAGCGGAAGGGTGCCATTTTCTTTCTTCTTCTCTTACTGTTATCAGAATTCTTTATTTTTCTTCATCTGTCACCATCCATATATTAACTTCTAAGTCTGATCAGCTTTTCCTTTAATTCCTGTTCCCTCACCTTTCCTTACTTTTTCAGGCAGTTTCAGACAGTAATTTTTGAATTCTATAGATGCATTATTTGTATGCCAATAAGCAAAAACGGCAGCCAGGACTGCAATTCTAAGACACACTACAAGCAGCCTATACAAGTTAAGATGATATGATCTCCAAGTCATGAACGTCCCACTCTGATAGTAACTTTCCAAGAATGTGCATTCCAAGTAAGAATTACTTTCCAAGAACCTTTCAATAGCGATCACAATTAGGAACCTTCTTTTTTTTTTGTTGGTGTTGTTGCAACAAACACTTGCTTGTAGGCAACTGCTGGGAAACATACACGGCTCTTCTAAAAACCTTCTCTTCTCTGAGGCATGTCCTGGTTTTGCACTTCCTAAATGTCCCTGCTCCTTTTTCTGTACATAATTCCTCAGCTTGTATTAACTGTGGTTTCCAAAATACAAGACCTAGGATTTAAAGGCAATTTGACTGCCTGAAATTGTTATCAGTCTTTTCCTTAAGTAAGAATCAAGTTTCAATTAGCTCGAGTATCAATATTAACTTTCATTTAATATTGCCATGGGGGAAACAAAAGTGACTTTGGTTTTTCAAGCATAAGGTCACAGAAGCCTTATTGGTTTATTCAGGTTTAATCTTCTCAGTTTGCACATGACTCAGAGAAATTCTTACACTGCATCTTTACTGTTGTTTTGTGGAAAAAGTCATCCTTCAGTTGAAAAACAGCATATTACCACATCAAGCTGAGGAGGGGGAAGGCAGAACAACTGCCACAGATGCAGCTAGTATCAAATTTGTTCAGTGACAAATATAGATCCTAAAATTAGGAAGAATCAATATTGTAAATTAGAAGCTTCAGTGAATTTCAAGCAATGCTCTTAAAACTTTAAGGAACTGAATCCCTTTCTGCATATCCAGAATGAGGTGATGGTCTCTTTAGCTGTGGTCTGGACTTCAATAACTCAAGTTGTAAGTGCCGGGGCGGGGGCGGGGGGAGAGATACACACACCATTTTTGAACATTGTTCCCTACGGAAGAAAAAATACTTTCTATTACAAGAAATAATCTTTTAAAAATACTCAAAATTATTTTTATTTAAATTTATACCAGTAAACTGCCTTGAAAAAAAAAAAAAGTCAGGTAAATGTTATTGTTCCCCAAGTCATAAATGAAGATTGGCTAAGTATCTAAGGACTTTTGTAAAACGATAGCTCCCTATCTATGAAGCAGACTGGACCAACGTCAAGATCAACAGTCCAAAGTGCTGGACAGGCCAGATGGTTAATGAACGAATACTGAAAGTAAATCCCATCAAGCTGAAGACCTTGTGACCTGCTGACACGAAATGCTCTTTGTAACCATCTTTTCAGCTAAACATGCATGCAGCAAATTGGCTCAATGAAGTGCACAAAAGAGCTTAGATAATACCCGTGGACGGAAATCCAGCTTCCTTCAAGGGGATAAATTCCTTGTTGCATCATTTCCTTATACTAAGAATAACTTCAGCATGATTTTGAGTGCTGAACTGGTGTCAAACAGGATCCTCTTCTTTCCAAGAGGAAATTGGTCATGCTATGAAAGTGAGATAGCTTTCCTTCCAGGAGCTGGCAGATAAATTGCCAGGATACAGCCATTGTCTAAACCATGATAAAATTTCTTTCTCTTTTCTTTCCCTGGATCACTCTTGCTGCCCAGTTGTGAAAGAAGCATGGGACATTATTAGCACACAGGAGGGAAGTGGTTGGGTAAGTGAAGAATTAACACTCTCAAACCCAGAAGCAAATGCCATCCTGCATGACTCAAAGAGATAATTGACCTATCTTCTTAGTGTTGGTGAACTTCAAAGAGCAGGATGGAAGGCATTCCACAGTCCAGTCATAGAATACAGGATATTGGTTTCACAGATGATTTGGGGTTCTTCTTCCATGTAGAAGCTCAAGCTCCTAATACAGTTTGATGCTTATGGCATTGTGCACATATCCTTCAAGCAGAATTGGTGGCCTGATTCAAAGTACCGGCAACAAATATATTTTCATTCACCATACTGACCAGAACAGTTATGTAATTCAGATGGAAAGAATGAGTGTAGAGGCTGAGTTGAGAAGGATGTTATAACCTTTTCCTTCTGAAACTTCATTACCGTTAAATAAATCAGTTGTGGCTCTATTGAGTTTTCTGCACATGTATAGGAGCAGAGTGGAATCAGGATCAGACCCTGGACCTGATCTTATTGGTGATCTGAAATCAAGAGGAATTCCAGAGATCTCTAGGAGTGGATGGGTGCATACATGCATGACTAATATAGGAATGAATGATGGCAATAGTTAACTTTTATTTCATAGAAAACCTAAAATGTCTAACAATAATTTTGTTCTTAATTGTCCATGTGAATAAACACCCTTCCTCTTTGATCAAATGCAAACCAGTGGAGTAGACAATGAGCTTAAGTAAATAATCTTTTAGGAGTTGAAAAAGGAGATCCATGAAATTAAAGGAAATTATCCTAATGACATGAAGAAAAAATATAGCTACTCAGAAAGGGTTCCTGTTCTCTGGATCTACAAAATGTATCCAGCTAATACCTTAGAAAACTGACAGAGAGTATCTGACCCACTCCCCTTTGCTCTCCCATTACAACTCCATCCTCCTCAGTAATCATGACTAATGCTGGGCTGAAGAGACATACTGTACAACCAAGCTAAAGACACTGGGCATTAGCTACAGCTTCTTTGAAGAAATCAGTGCCATACTGACAAGGAAAGTAATTTTTAAAATCTGATTTGTTATAGTTAAATCTGATTTCTTTAAAGAATATCAATATTAACATGTTCAATTTAAAAAAGTATAGATGTAAAGATGTTAAGTCTACATGTCTTCATCTTTGTTTATATTTGAATCAAAAGCTCTTTGTCAAACAACCTAAGCTAGTTCATTCTTTTACCTAGAAAAGCAACTAAGGACAAGAGAAATAGGCTTTGAAGAACAGACATTATTATATATATGAGACAGTAAGCTACACAATGTATCTATTATTATTTGGCTCCTTATCCATTTGGTATTTAACTTTGATCATTGAAAACAGCAGGCAGAGCAATCCTTGCCCTGTGTGCCTTGATTGATTGATGCTGAAATGGAGATAACTCCACTGCCTGACAAACAAACAAGCTCTGATAGTTCAATTATACTTCTAGGGAGATCCATGGCATCCCTCTACTGCCAGCAGAGCTCCTTCTGGAGAAGTAAGGATTATAGCACCACCCCAACAGACATTCTGGGACAGGACAGAGGTTACTTGGTCTATGCTCAATATCCATATGATTTCATATTTACCTGCAAGCAAATTATTTCAATGCTTATATCAACCATTTCAAATCCAAATCCCTTGAGGAAATATGAGGGTAAGAAAGAAGAAAGCTGTCTTAGTACAATTGTTTAATTCAGACCATTTTCCAGTGATGAATTGCATTCCTTTGAATTAAATCAACCCATCCTGCTGATAGGAGCTTGTCACATTCAATGGATAAGAATCCTGGAGATTCAGGATTTACTTCAGATTTGAAGCAGGGGTCTTCAAACTTGACAGCTTTATGACTTGTGGACTTCAACTCCCAGAATTCCTTCTCCAGTCATGTTAGCTCAGGAATTCTGGGAGTTGAAGTCCACAAGTCTTAAACTTGCCAAGTTTGAAGACCCTTCCTTTAGAGTCTCAAATATAGACACAATTTATTATTCTGAGAAGTTGGGTAAAGCCTACTATGATTTCCCAGTTCAGCTAACATAATTGGCTAACTCTTCAAATGTCTCATTAATTCATTCTAATTAATTCTTGAATTTCTACTGACCATCTCCTTTTTCTACCTGTGGTTTGATGAATCTGCAGAGTCTTGAGTGAGAATGTTGGGATTAAGTGAACCCAAGTGAAGCAGAGATGCTTGCTTCTTTGTATGAAAGTCTCACCAGAAAGGTAAAGTACAGGAAGACACCTAACAACTAATAGGCCAGGTGTCACGGTAGGAGAAGCTTCTTAGGCTATGCAGAAATAGGCCATGGGTGATGGGTAGCAACTTGCTAGTTTCAGGCAAGATTTTTCCATTTAGTCAGGAGATGACATGGATCTTATGCATGAAAAACAAGTGCTCTGCCACGCAGCAATGACCGATGTCTTAGAAAACCAACTATCTTGGGTTACTTTTGAATATAGTAAGTAAGCATGGATAAGTCTGTTCTAAGCATCAGCATATATAATCTTGCTTACTTTTCCTCCACCTTTTTTAAGAGATGTGTTGGTTTCTAGAAATTCTGCACTATATTCAATCTAGTCTGAAATCTAATGAAAAGACCGCTGTAGGGTCTTCAAAAATATATTTTATATAAATATTCAGAATACAGACTTTGTTCACATGGAGCGCCTCACTAAAAAGAGCTTCTTTATTAAAAATGAACACAGAACTTGATCCTGTAACTGGATAACAAAGACTGATGTAAGTGGTGAATTATTCTTGCAGCAACTTCATTCTATTGACAAACTGCCTACTGATAGCAAAATTACATGCTTCCAGACTAAGTACCATAACATTGGCCATAACCTTCTGAGAGCTGATGTTTAAATATTTTTAAAATACTTACAAACATTCTTTTCTAATTGGTGTACTCTGCAGGTTTAAAACTATAACTACCATTGAAAAGTGACTATTCTTCTGTCATGTCCACATTTCACTGTTCATTTTTAAACAAGATTTTGCTAAATTTGTCTCAACCATCCCCAAATAAGACCAGTTCTGTCCTTAACAGAAATTGTTAACCTATGTGTTTTCTTCAAGTAGTATTTGTTGTATGATTATTTCTCATTGCAGATGAATAATGACAAAGGAATGTATTTCTTTGCAACATACATTGTATATTTGGAAGGAATACAATTACAAAGTTTCACAGAAAAATAACTAGATTATGCACACATCTGAAATACGTGTTACAGGTGTGTTACAACAGTTTGTTTAGTGATTATTCAAAGTTACAATGGCACTAAAAAAGTGCAACCATTGCAGCAACCTCATGGTCATATAATCCAAATTTAGACGCATGGCAACTGACTTTTGTGGCCTTCGGACGAGCAAAATCAATGGGGAAGCCCGATTTACCCAACAACTGTATTACTAATTTAACAACTCAGTGATTCGATTGACAAATGAGACAATAAAAGTCATAAAATGGGGCAAAACTCACTTAACAAATGTCTCACTTCACAACAGACATTTTGGGCTCAATTGTGGTTGACCACCTGTACATTTCCTCCTGGTAGGTAGGGCATTTCGTACCCTTTGTGGCTAACGTCGTCACCATAGAGGGAAGCTCACAAGTGCAAAAGTCTCTGCTTCTTACTTACAAGTTCCAGTTTGGGAGGAGTGGGGGATTGTCCCTTGCACATTACTTTAGTCTTGTTTCCACCCAATAACATTTACTACATCCATATGTCCATTTGGGAGTTCATATCTATCCATTCTTAAAGTAATTTGATATGTTCAGCAAAAAGGGGCAATTTATTATTCACTTCTAATTTCAGATAATTTATGGGTAATTGCAATTCAACAAGAATCAAGAGTCTAAAAAAGATGTGCATGTAGAAGAGGGGGGAAATAGACTAGGATGTAGCAGGAAAAGGAAAACCATATGATACTTAAAGAGCCACCACAGTACCCACTGCTCATCCACGATTAAGTAACAGAGCAAGCTGAGTTGTAGAAATATTAAATATTATATCTAGTAATGAAAGAAACTTACCAAAACTTCACATGGTGTGATGGAATTGTCTGTGTAAATGCAGAGTTTCTGTACACTTAAAGGCATGGTCTCTCGTAACTTGGAAGCCAAAAGCATGCAGACAGCCCCCAGAAGTTGCAAGTGGTTTTTGCGGGTGGGGACACAGGACAAGTAGCGATCCACATAATTCATGGCCAAAGGAAACACCTCTTCTTCACATTTTTGCTCCTCACAAACCTGATTAAAAAAAATCAGTAACAATGGGAAAGAATTTTATAAATAATGACCACCTACCATACTGAAAATAAATTCTTCAAAAATTGTCCTTATCAAAGCACTTTGTATTGTAAGTATGAAGGAACATATGAGAGTTAATATGTAGAACTGGGGATATGAAAACGTATTCTGTTTTTGCTTCTAGATCCCGCTGCACAGTTAGGTCAAATCTGCATTACAGAATCAGTATTTGGTTTTTTAAAGTCTGGTCTGATGCATCATATGCAATGAATAATATCCTAAATATTCAAAAGCATTTCACTATTCTAATTTCATTTACTACAGAACATTAAAGCCTTTTATATCTCACACCAATAAAAATACCAGTGAAATAAACGGTACTTCCATGGAAGAAGCCATCATGTGATGACAATATTCATCAAGAATTTAAAAGGCCTAATTCCCCATCTTCTCCATTCATTAGGCTAGTTATTTATGCTAATTTATTACTGCACCCACTGAATCTTTTATACTGACTTCACAATAAAACCATGACTATAGCCCTTTTACCAGAAACTCATTTTACTGTATGACTTTCCCATATAGGAATTGTTGCTTTTTAAAGTGGATGCATTTAGCTTTCCTGTTGTGATATCTGTCTCATCAGCTTAAAGCCATATAAATGAATTTGAATCCACAATCACTCCTTCTAGTCTATCTGCACAGGGCTGCTTCCCTTTATGACATGCCTAAGGTATAATGGTGGAGGAATTCAAATCTCTCTTCCAGTCTGAGCTCCTTACTTTGTTTTCCCCAAAAGCAATTCTTACCTATTACTGATGATCAGGAAAATAAGGTTTTATAAACCTGAATTTAATAACCCAAATGCATTAATGGAGTTGCAGAAAGTGGTCATTTTCCCTGAGCACTTTGATATCTTGCAAACAAAAATAGTAAATAATATATTATCAAAAAAGCAAGCACACAAGAGTCCCTTTCTTAGATTACAAATCCATTGAATCCAGAATCTTGTTTCCAACAAGAAACTTACAAATAAAACTGTGTTTCTCCTTTGCTTCACTTAGAAAAAAACTCTTATCTAATTTGTTTGTGCTTATTGTACAAGTACCTAAAGCAATTTATTTATAAGATAAGGCAAGACTATTATACTTTGACTTCCGATTTTCTTTTTCTGGTTAGAGCTTTGGTTAAAATTTGTCCTTTACTAGTTGGTTATTTATTTCTCCCATTTCATCCATCTTCATATCTGGTATTTTAGTTGTGAAAAATTGCAGATTCTAAACTGCTTCGATCAATCCATAATTTGTTGTGCACAAGCAGGGCTAGTGGCCGGGACCCCCTAGAGGTTGCACGCTTTACTGCCAAAAGGTGAACGCTCCTCGAATAAGAATCTTTCCCTTGGCTTAGCACCATCAGGGTGGGTTTTTGTTTTTTTGTAATCAACCTAAATCGAGAAGGCAAAAACGGAGGGGCACGGAGGCCTCGTTTATTTTTTCAATCCGCACCCCCCACCCACCTCTAGGCTTGCTGTTTATTAAGCATCGATTCCTTCACCCCCAAACGCAAACACTTCCCACCACGTTCGGCTGACCTCTCCCCTTGCAAAAGCCTTCCCCAAAACGGCTGAATTTGGATCCCTCCCGCCACTACCATTCGAGCCAGCTTTCCCGCTCCCATCCAGGCTAACCTAAGGCCTCACTTCTTTCTAGGGAAACTTCTCCGGATTCCGGAGAAACCAGATTCCAGGGAATGAACGGAGAGAAACGTGCCATAAAGACGCCTATACCTCGACGCATACTTGCCCGAATATAGATGCCACCGAAACTAACCAGGCTTCCTTCCGAGCGATTGCAAAAAGAAGGGGAAAACACCCACCCACCCCCATTTTTTGAGGCGGCCGACTAAAAGTTAAGCCGGGCTGCGCCCACAAGAAGAGAGGGTGGGTGATCGAGCGACTCCCCCGGCACAAACCTCCAACATCCAGAACGCCAACATCTTCCGCATGTACGGCTGGATCTCCTTCTGCACGCACTGGAAGTAGGAAACGCGAAGGCAGCAGCGCTCTTCCTGGCTGAGCAGATTCTGCAGGACCCGCCGGTCCCTTAATAGCTGCGGATCCCGCTTGGCCCGGATCACCCCTTCCACACACAGCAGTTCCATGTGCGCGAATTCGGAGACGGGACGGGGCGATGGAAAAGAAGGGAGCCGAGGCTGCGAGCGGGGAGCCGGAGGCCACGAGGAAGGGAGAGGAGGGACTCTTCGGCAGTCTCCGCCCGAGCGCGGGCTGGATCCAGCGGTGGCAGCGGCGACCCGGCGAGCCCAGCCAAGAAGCCTCCCCTCCCCCTGCGAGGTGCCTCCAACCTCCCGGCAGCACCGACACCAATGAATGTACGGCCACGGGTCCTTGGGAGAGGCGGAGTCGGCCTCTGGCCCACCTTCTTCTGACGGACGCCCCTTTCTAGGCCACGCGAAAGATTTGCCATCCTAGGGGCGGAGGATCTTCCTTTTTCTCCACCCCGGGGATGTTATTTTACCAAGCGCCAGAATGTTCTTTGCAAGCAGGGGCGCTGGCGGACGGATTTGTCCCGTTTTCTGGACATTTACTTCAGGATCTTTAGCTATTCCGGCCGCTCCAACAAGGAAAGCAGGATCCTGAAGCGCGACGCTTTACAGGTTGCCTGCCTTGCACTGGCACGTATGAATCTGGCTTCGGCGCCCTTGCAAAGCAGGGAGTCCGCGCTAAAGTAACCCTCGGTATTCCCACGGTGCCTGCAGTTCTCTCAAAAGACGGCATGTGCCACAAATAGGGGTATTATAACTGCCTGGTGTCTCGCGACAACATACCACCATCACCAGCAATATCCCGATGACCAGATTCCTGCAAGCTAGGGAATTGCCTGTGGCATTTTGGCTCCTCCCCTCGCACCCAGTGACCAACATGGCCACTGATAAGGTGCCCTAACCTAAAATTTCAGGACGAAGAAGGCAGCGCTCCGTTCAAGGCCACTGCTGTGCCCTCTTCCAACTTCCTCTCCTCAGGAAGGAGAGATACTAACTGATTTCTAAATCATGGACAGTTCCTGGGTGGCAGCAGAATTGGGGCTTTTGTATGTTTTTGCAGCTATGAGATGGTTGTCTGGATTTTTGCAGTCCATATCTCATACCTCTCACATCCTGTTTTCTTTATAATGCACATTCCCACTCATTTCAAGGCCGCTGACCAAAATGGACAACTACTTTGTCATCCCCCCCCCCCCCCCCACACACACTTTTGGCATGAACACTTTCACATGAGGACTCTGCCAGTTCAAAACCAGCTCAAAATCTTTGTCGTCCTATGATGGCTAAATTTGACTTAACTGGATTTATATCTGGCTCTGTTCCAGTGTTTTAAAAATTGAAGTAAAGTTAGCTTTTAAAAAAGCAAAAATACTGAAGCATTGGAATTGCCTCTTTCCCTGTTCGCAGGAATGTTGGCCTTACCATGTCCTGCCTCTTGACTTCAGTGCTCCAGGCCTTTGAAAGGGAAATGATGGCTTGATGCCAACCAGGTAATGGACATTGCGCAAAGTAGATTTGCACAGGTGTATTGGCAATTTATTTTCCTTTTGTATGGAGTGAGTGTGAGAGGTTTTTGGTACTGCCAGACTTAAAGCAATTCAGAGGGGTGTCAGTGATTTTTGTTCCTTCCAAAGTTGGGATGTAAATCTCAACAACTTTTGACAGATGGGAGAGGAGGAAGTACTGTCAATATGGCAGTGCCATGCAATATTCTCTCCAGTGCTTTTTTTTTTAATAAATGAGGTGAATCAATGCCATGAAAGAAATACTCATAATAAAAGTATGGAGAAATTACTGCAAATTTCAAGAATAATATAAACTGGATTATAGCATTAAGAGATAAATTCATCACCAGTTCAAGTGTTCTGTATCACAAAGAGAAGATTTTTATATCGCCTTCATATTCAGGGCTCTAATACCTTTTCTTTCAGAAATTCTTCCAATAACTTTGATGATGTAATATATGAAGAATCCAGGAGTGAAATGCTTCCTTCATGAAAACCAACCAACCAATGGAATTTAAACTACAATTAATTTCCTTTTTCTTCTTTCTTTTTGGTGGTCTGCATCATTTGCTTTGTGCAAACGATTCAGGTTCTATATTTTCTATGAAAATATACCCAGGCTATCTTATTACCAAACATTGGGAAGGCAGAATGTTGAATCTTTGTCTCTTAACGTTTTCTGGATTCAGTATTTTGAAACTAAAGATTCCAGCCACCCACTATACACAGATATCTTTCAACTTGGGCTGGCTTTAACAGACCCTGGAATATTCTGAAACAAACCTAGTAACACTTAGGGGAAAAGAAAGGAGGGGAAAAGAAAGAAATTGTTGCAAAACAGGCAGTTCTGCCTCCAGATCATGACTTTGCAAAACCAGGATACCCGAAGATACATGATCAGACCCAAGTGGCAAGTTAAAGACACCAGCGGTTTCCAAAACTGCACCAAATAGCACTTTGGGAAGAAGAAAACAGTATTAGAGGTGGGGGAAAAGACAGTTCATCAGTGTTGAAAGATAAACTGTTCCTTGCTTTTCTGGCACAAAGCTTAGCAATCTGCAAATGAAATTGCCATACCATTCCATTGCATTATAGTAAATGATTGTAACTGGAGAAGATCTTGTTAAAAATCATAACACAGAGATGGCTACAAATTCACACATAATAATATTATGATATGTTATAAATATTATATTGGTCCCTCAGCCTAACCTACTTCACAGGGTGGTTGTTGTGAGGGAGAAGAGAAGGGAACACTACGTATACCGCCTTGAATTTCTGTAAAAAAAAAAAAAGACAAGATATAAATCTAATTAAAAAAAGAAGTGTGTGATTCAAATGATGGTAATCAAGCTGGGGTACAGCCAGTCCCACTATGTAAAAAATGAAACCAAGAAATCCATTCCACACAAAGGTTTAAAATATATATGTATTGACTATAGTGACACAATCTTTGCAACGTGACTATCGGTGGTATTCAGCCGGTTCGCACCAGTTCGGTAGGACCGGTAGCAAGGATTTGGTGTGGGTCGCCAAACCGGTAGTAACTTCTGACTGGCCATGCCCCCAGCCCAGTCGCTAGTCACTTGCTTGTCCTGCCTGCCCGATGCCCGCTTACCCAGTCACTCCTTAAGGTTTTTTTTAAATCTCCCGACAATCAGCTGCTCCTATGTGCTGGGATTCCCCTCGCTTCTTACTACAGAGCATGGAGGAGTGCTGCGTGCCCCTCTGCTCTTTTTTTTCTTCCTGAACCCCAGGGGAGCCTTCTGGGAGCAAAAATGCCCCCCTAGAGGCTCCCCTCTGAGACCAGGAAGGCCCCCAAAATGGGGGGGTTTGCAAAAAATGCCATGCCCAATCACATGGCCATGCCCACCTAGCCACGCCCACAGAACCAGTAGTAAAAATTTTTGAATCCCACCATTAGTAACTATGCTTTATTTTCCCACCCTCTAATTCTATGTGAATTACAGAGGTATCTGAGTTTGTTGCACATGCCTTCTTCTAATTTGGGGCTTAAGCACCTTTTTCCACTTGTTGCTTTAATAATGGATCTGGCTGTCTCTCAATGGCACCTTTCTTACTTTTTACAGTACACCTATGTGTCTCTGAATTGCTGAAGTACAATTACCAACATAGAATTGGCAATATGGGTTGAGACTGCTGGTAGTTGTAGTTCTGAATGTTTTGAAAACTACAGTTTGCTACACTTTTATAGAGCTATGGTGGTTTATTATACTTAGTGATACGACACAATGGGAAAACTTTTAAAATGACATAAATGCTTTCATTCTGCTATATTGCATGGAACTGAATGTTCAAACAGTCCAAAATATTGTATATGTGTGTATTTATTATGTGGCTAGAAGGAAACTACTAAAGATAAGACTGAAAGCATGCATGCACAAAGTTCAGCTGTGACAGATATTAAATTAGTCCCTTAACAGCTGACCTACAATTATAATTGGAAGTATAAAGAGTAATAGGTAACTCAACCACAATAAAATGAAGGTGTGGAACGTTGCAAGAAGGTAATAGTGAGAACTGTGATATGATAAAGAACCAAAAATAAAAAGTCTACAAATAAAATTGCAATGACAGAAGACTACATAATTAAATAATTAAATATAGATCTGCAAAAGGAAAATAATTGTCAGAAGAAATAGCTGAAAGAGCAAATAAATTGTAGTTCAGGTTGAGTAAATTAATAAATAAGAAGAAGCATCAAGTGAAGATTAAGAAGGCTGAACAGCCTTCCCCAAGTAGCAAACTAGAAGAATCTAGGCCTTGCTGTGGGATACAATACCCTGTTGGCATAAATATACCTCTTGTTACTCTATTCTTTGCAGCAAACTAATAAGATTAGTTCCTTGCATGGGTGAATTGATGAATTGTTTTATGTCACAGCATTTCATTTCTTTCCACTGTACTAATATGTAGCTGTCTCCATGTTCACATCACCTGGTTGCTGGGATTTGCCAACAATTAATAGCTGCTCAGGTCCCGTGAACATAAATTGCACAATAAGGTGGCAACTTAAGGAAGGAGAACTGGGTCCTTGATGGTAGAGGATGTGCATTTCATGGACCGCTGTCACTAGGCCTGAAGAATGCCGTTGTGGGAATTCTCTTTTCTTTCAATCCATGCCAGGAGGTGTTTGCAGGGGGAAGAAACACCTTTTCCCCTTTCAAGTGGAATATCTAAGGGGTCAATACTCTCACCTCTTCTGATTATTATCTACATGAAGCCGCTGGGCAAAGTTATTTTTAATAGAGGATCCAGAGTCCAGTGCCATCATTATGGTGATGACAGTTATACAGTGGTTCCTTGGTACTCAATTGCTTTGAAACTTATTGAATTTGGTACTCAACACATTTGACATAAAAGTTATAGTGCTATGTGAGCCAAACTAATTACCAGCAAGCTTCCAAATACAATTCAAGGTAGTGACTGTAGCCTATACAGTAAAGTCCACTATGGCAGTTACAGTACATAAACTTCATCTACTGGGTCCAAGAAGTAAGTCTTCCTTGTCATAAACCAGCCTAATGGAATGATGTCCCCACCGCTATTCATTGGTTTAGATTGCCCTGACTG